AGCTGGTGGAAAATGAAGTGGCTAGATTACTTGTGTGAGCAAGCTACCATCAATATACACCACCCTGCTTGCGAGATTTGCACTGCCTGCCAGTCTGCTACCAAGCCAAATTCAAGATGTTGATGTTGTCATAGAAGGTTGTATACAACTCAGGACCAGTTTACCTGAGAGACCACCTTATACCTGAGATCTGTGGGAGAGTTCTCCTGCAAGTTCCAAAGATCTCAGAAGCTTTTAGCCTCTGTTCTGTTGAGAGATGACAGTTGCCTGCCTTTTGCACTTTACAGAAACAATTTGAAGATCCATAAATGCTGGGCCAATGGGTCTGTGCCTTGAGTGTCTGGCTTTAGTTTTGTTTTAAATGCATCTTCTGGTTTTGTTGTTTTTCTTATTGTGCATCACCTTAAGGCAATTGTATAGAGAATGATATTAATAAATTGTTATTACTAATATTGATTCTGATTTGGGTATGAATTTTAGGAATCAATTAAAGCACACCCATTCAGTATCTGGAATTCTCCACTTCTGCCATACAGATAAGTGGGAGATCAGAGCAGGCTATATAGGAATGTTGTGGGGGGTTTTGCAGGTCTTAAGTGTTCCTCCACGTGAACTTCACACGTGCTTTTCTATTTCAGTCTGTGGGATCAGCCCATCCATATTTACTTTCTAAGTTGCCAATTGCATTTGACTCCAGCGAGTGAGAGTCAAGGTGATCGTGGGAGGACTGATGTTTGAATAGCTGGAGTTGCTCTTCCTATACAGAAAGCATTTCCGTGAATGGATGGGACTTTGGCAGGAAACAAGCACTGGTGAATGATGACATTCCATCAAACCACAACTTATTTACTCTTCTGGCGTTGCCTGTTTATATGCAGCTCACTGGGCATTCATTTTTAACCAACTCTGAGAGAGAGAGAGATCAAGGATCCCATTTGTGACTGCTGGAATTCCATATGACAGCCATTAATCTTTTGTGTACACATGCCACTTCCTAATACAAGCTTGAGGACAATTAAATATGCATCTCTTTTCATGACTGAGAGTTCAACCAGTGTTTAAAAAAGGTAGATATTATCTTGGTCTGATTTACTTCAGAGTAGACCCATTTGATTCAAAGATGCTACTTTTAGATATGTGACAACAGGGGGCTTATAGCATGAAATGGTGGCATTCCTGTGGTATGTCAGTGTTAAGGTTCCTAACACAATACACATCTTCATCAAAACGGTTCACATACAAAGGTGAATAGCTTTCTGATTAGCCTTATGTTTGCTGTGGGATCGTTCGCACTAAGTGCCACCTGATTGTATTGATAGGTTAAGATGTACAGCTATTATAACTGTTCTTTGAAAGCCTAGGGCTTTCTTGGAAGAGATGTTAACCTAGCATGTCTGTAATTACATTAATTTTCCTAGGATCCTTTAAAAAGGGTGTGTGTGTGGTAATGGCAGCTTTCAGGTTCTAACTTAGAGACAAACTGAATATTGTATTGAAAAGATCAGCAGCTTCACATGTGAGCACTTTCAGGTATCTCAGGTGAACACCAATTGGGCCCAGTGTTGTGCAAATTGCCAATATGGGCCCAGTGATTTGTTCATTTCTAATTTGTCAATGTGGGCTGGAATGTTGTCACTTGTCACCACTATTTGCCACAGTTCCTCAGACTCCCTGAGAAAGTTAGTTTGGATACAGGGTTTTGCAAAGAATACATTCTGCTTTTCCACAATCTCCTTTCCTTCTTTTAGCACACCCCTGACATCCATGCTGTCCAAAGGTCCAAGAGCCTTCCTTCCCCATTTCCTGCTTCAGATATATCTAAATAATATTTTATTGTTGGTTTTAATGTTTTTATAAGGGACGTGGGTGGCACTGTGGGTTAAACCACAGAGCCTAGGACTTGCCGATCAGAAGGTCGGCGGTTCGAATCCCCACGACGGGGTGAGCTCCTGTTGCTTGGTCCCCACTCCTGCCAACCTGGCAGTTCAAAAGCACATCAAAGTGCAAGTAGATAAATAGGTACCACTCTGGCAGGAAGGTAAACGGCGTTTCCATGTGCTGCTCTGGTTCGCCAGAAGCAGCTTAGTCATGCTGGCCACATGACCCGGAAGCTATACGCCGGCTCCCTTGGCCAATAAAGTGAGATGAGCACCGCAACCCCAGAGTTGGCCACTACTGGACCTGATGGTCAGGGGTCCCTTTACCTTTACCTTTAATGTTTTTATGCTCCTCAAATTCATCCTCACATTCCTGTGTTGAAAGGCTCTTAGGCCACATACACACCATACATTTAAAACACCTCCCCTGAACCTGGTAACTGGAGTTTACCCCCCACAGAGCTACTATTTCCAGTACCTCTAACAAACCACAGTTGCCAGGATTCTTGCTGGGCTGTGTGTTTTAAATGTAAGACATGTAAGCAGCCTTAGTCTCATTCAGGGGTACAATGAAACAAGACCAAGCAGGATATGAACATTAGCACTTTCCTTCTGAATTGTCATGTAATGTGAAAGTTGTTGAGTGCAATCTAGGTAAGACCATCAGGCTACACAGTCCGAGGAAATAAGTGACCTTCAATTGCTTATTATTCCACCATACCCTGAAGGCTTCAAGTGGATTAGAATATAAAACCAGAAGCATAAAAGAGTAAGTACAGTTATAGCAATGCTAAACTAGGCAGTTAGTCCCTATTGAGTCAAATGGGAGTTAAGTGTACCTCTTAGTCCCTCTCAATTCTGCATCAAGATTGCTTTGAATTATCCCTGCATTGGAAATGGCAACACCGGGTGCACAATACATATTTCCTTGCAGAGATTGCATAATGTTACTGGCCGAGCCTATCTGCAACTGAAGTCATTTCCTCCTTTCCATTCTTCTGGTTTGTTTTGAAGGGCTCATTGTGCTACTTTGAGTTAGTTCAATTCACATAATTCCTTTTTGTTTGTTTGTTTTGGATTCGCTCAGAAAGGGTATCGTGCATGCAGATTTGCATGTATGCACATGTGAGAGCTAGAATAGGAGCCAGGTATGACACTAGCTAGGGCAATTTCAGACAAGTGCTGCAGAAGATTCTTCTTCTACGGCCCAGCCTTACCCAACCTGGTGCTCTCCTGATGTTTGGGATAGGAACGGTATGAGCTGCAGTCCAAAACACCCAAAACATTTCCCATTTTGGGAAAGGTTGCTGTAACATATTTGGCTAATTTGCAAGCCAGGCTTGATTATTGTAACTCACTCTACGTGGGGCTGGCCTTGAAACTGCCCCAGAAATTCCAGCGGGTGCAGAATGCCATGGCGAGACTCCTCACGGGGTCCTTGCTGCAGGAGCACATTCATCCGGTGCTATATCAGCTGCACTGGCTCCCGGTGGAGTACAGGATCAGGTTTAAGGTGCTGGTTTTAACCTTTAAAGCCCTATACGGCCTATGGCCTCTCCTAGTATGCCCCACGAAGGACCTTAAGGTCTGCAAATAATAACACCCTGAAGATCCCAGGCCCCAGGGAGATTAGACTGGCCTTGACCAGAGCCAGGGCCTTTTCGGCTGTGGCCCTGGCCTGGTGGAACGCTCTCTCACAAGAGACCAGGGCCCTGTGGGATTTGACATCTTTCCACAGGGCCTGCAAGACAGAGCTGTTCCGTCTGGCCTTTGGTCGGGGTTCAGTCTGATTCTTTTCTTTCTGTATAAGAACAAGCATTAAAGAGGCCTCCTAGCCCACTCACAGGTCCTCTATAAGACTGGTGGTAACAGTTGGCCCTAGAGAATATTAACCACTCTCAATTTTACCTGTGGACTGCCATCTGTCCAGATTTTAATTTGGTCTGAACTAATTTTAAGATGTATTTTAATTAATTGATTGCCTGTTTTATGTTTCTTATGGTCTTTGTATACTGTGTTAGTTTTATGATGTTAGCTGCCCTAAGCCCAGTTCCCGCCAGGGAGGGCTGGGTATAAATAAAATTTATTATTATTATTATTAATTACCCAACGAAAACATCAGAAGAGCTCAGGTGGATCAAAGCAAGCATCTGCCTACACCAACTCAAGAGCTGGTGGTATATAGGGCCTATTTGGGAGGGGGGCTGTTGGAAGTATGAGAAGGGGTGCGGATTCTGGGGATCCTTGGCCACCCTGGAGGTCTCTAGTTGTATAAATGCAGATCTTCCTCTCTGCCAGTGGAGCAACACTTGTGCCCCCTTTGGCTGGCTTTAGGATTGCCCTATTTTCAAACCAGGTTCACCCAAACCGAGCAACTGTTCCGCCCTGAAAGTATTGCATAATCTGCGCTCCAAATTCTCTTCATAATGAGCTTTTAGAAGATATTTATAAGTAGGCTGTCAGCTTAACAGGATGTACCAAATCCTGTAGCTTCAAAAGCCATTCTTTTTTCCCTTTTTTTTCGAGGGGCTTCTTAGGGCTTTCCAATCCCTGCCAAATGTTAATCATGCAGCTGCCAACACACTTATTATTATTGCATGGCATATCTTTGATGTTATGTTAAGGGTGAGCTCCAGGTTCGAGAGGTAAAATTAGAGCACCCTTTCAGCAGTGGGATTATCCCACAATCCAGGGATGGGTGGCTAACCTGTAGCCTACCAGATGTTGTTGACTACAGCCAGCATGCAGCTGGAGATGATGGGAGTTTGTAGTCCAACAACTTGGACTACAAGGTTCCATGGAAGACCACAGGTTCTCCATGAAATTCTGCTTGTGGTGATTAAGGATCTAAGCCTTTGTTCCTTATCTATATCCACTGTGTTAGTCAGAGTGTGACACAAAGACCTTGAAGGAATTCTTCTTACAAGCAGGATTTTGTTGCTTCAGCAAATGGTGTAAATGGTCCAGCTGGTGACCTGCCTGCCTTTGGTATTTGTTTGAGTAACTCACATGACATGCCAGCCACTATATTAGAGCAATATATCCTTAAGATGTCATTCGGTAGCGTCTAGATATAATGGCAGTTGAGTGCACAATATACATTTCTGACACATGTTGAGGTACCGTTTGCGCTAAGCGTGTCCTTCATCCTTCGGTAAGGTCACATCTAAAGGAGGTGGGGGGGGCGAAATCAGTCTCCTGAGCCGTTGAGATGAAGTCAGCATATTATCAACACACCAGCCGCTGTACGTGACAAGGCTGGTGTCGGAGGGAAATACAGGAGCCAAAAATAGTCTGGAAAACATGAGATATAACTTTAAAGGGACAGAATCCAACAATCTGAAGCCAAAATGGGTTTTGTTTCCCCTGATGTATAACTGCCTTATGTGGAACACCCTTCAGCTTCTAAAATTTGTAAGATCCTAATAAATTCATAATTAGTAACTGCTTTCCTCTTGCCTCTTAAAAAATAAAGGACCTGTTTCTGATCAGATCTGTAAGCCTGCCTGCCTTCTCTCAGAAGGATGGGGGTGGGTTTCTTGGGTTGGGGGAGAAACCTAAATCATATTTTCTGGTGGAAATATACAAACTGAAACATAGCCATCCTTTGAAAATTCCCGAATTCCCCAAACTTTGCAAAAATCCCTGTATTTTGCAATGCAGTTTTCCAACCAAGAAATGCGTACAAAAATGCATATACCAGGATAAAAATAGGATATTTTTATGCATATACTAGGATAAAAGAATTACACAAGTGTGTTGTATTAGGGAGCACTGCTTGGCAAAAATGTGTATGTTAGGCAAAATTAACATACTATTTAAAAAATAGCACAATGAGGATGAACTTTTATGAAGACTTATTTTTTTTAAAAAAAATGGAAATGTAGAGAAATGGATTTCAGATAGTAAAAAATGAAAAAGCAAAGTTGACATATTTGCCCCTCTGTATTGGGGTATAGGGGCTATGGTCACTCATTGTAACAGGTAGCAAAGAGTTTTTGTTTTAATATATCTATAATATGTGGCTTTTTGCTTTGTTGTTGTTTAGTATGTTGCTTTGAGTTGCCTTTGGCAAGAGGAAACAACAACAACAACATCATAATAATAATGAATGAATGAACAATTTTCCCAATGGAGAGATTCAGAAAGTACAGTCCCCCACTTTTGGGCTTTTTGGTTTGTTCATAAATGATCTAGAGTTTTTCACTGGAGATGCCAGGGACTGATTCTGCGACCTTCTTGCAGTGCATATGCCAAGTGCTCAAGTGCTGTTCTTCCAACGTGGCAGGGAAAGTAAGCTATATGCTGCTTCTCTTCTCTTTTTGATGCTTATGTGTAAGGGACAAAATGGAAATTTAGCCTTTGTCTCGAGCTCCCATATCTCACCTTGTGGGAGAGATATGTGAGTTGCCACGTATCTTGAGTGGAGTGAAGTGAAGCTTGAGAAGAGGCAGTGCAAAGAGGAAGCACTTCCTTCCCCCTCGTCCCATGTGGCAGCCTAAGAATCTGCCTCTTCTTCACCATTTATTACAACCAATATGCCTAGCAATGCGGCTTGGTCTACACACACAGCACAATAAGGTGCTTCTGAGGTGGCAAATGATGGGATCTTTCACTTCAGACTGCAGGTCTTGTAAGGATAAATGTCACTATACCCTTAAGGTCACCGTGCATATCTTGTTTGGGATGTTAGGCCCAAGCAGAAGGCAAGGCTAGAAGCAGAGTGAAAAAGCAACTAAAAGAGTGAAGACCTGTTGTATATATAGCTCTATTTCTTATTTACCGTATTTTTCGCTCTATAAGACGCACCAGACGACAAGACGCACCTAGTTTTTGGAGGAGGAAAACAAGAAAAAAAATGTTCTGAATCTCTGAAGCCAGAACAGCAAGAGGGATTGCTGCTCAGTGAAAGCAGCAATCCCTCTTGCTGTTCTGGCTTCTGGGATAGCTGCACAGCCTGTATTCGCTCCATAAGACGCACTCACATTTCCCCTTACTTTTTAGGAGGGAAAAAGTGAGTCTTATAGAGCAAAAAATACGGTAAATCCTCTGACCTGCTCATTATTTGGCAGAGAACATTACAGGCTCCGGCTCATATTTGTGAATGTTTCTCTTTTTAAAAACAAGAATACCCATATCACATACCATCCCATTTTTTCTTGCAGGTGGACAGTGGCCAAAATGGCCACCACAATCTCACATTATTTTGGACACTGTGCCCAGAAAGCGTGTTTTTTTTTGGGGGGGGGATGCAATCTCATGCATCCAGGTGTGGACCTGGAATATCGCTTCCTGGATTTGGGCCGTGTCATGTTGGAAGGTATTATCTCAGTCGGCAAGTACATAGCCACCTTTATCTGTTGGGGGTGTTTTTACTTTTAGTGAGTTCTTTAAAGGGAATAAATATGCAAAAAAAGGGGGGGTTATCTTACCTGTAGACTAATGTAGTGCAGTCCACTCTACCACCTCATCCATTCTGCTGCTTGTGAAGATTAGGCCTGTGATGGATGGGCTGCTGTGGGGAGACTCCTAACTGTCTGTTTATTGCAAAGACCCCTTCGAGGCTACAATTCAACAGAACACAGAGACACATTGTACTCCTGAGGTGAATGAATGATGGACCTCTGCACAAAGGGCTGGCTACAGACATATTGCTACCTGAGGTGGAGCAGCAAATGGGTCATGCCCCGCTCTCCCCAAAATCAAGGTGTATAGCACCCTAGGGCCAAGCAAGTTATTTTGTCACTTGAAGTATAATATCTTGTAAGAGCCTCTCCCCTTCTCCGGCAGGAAAATACAAGAACAATTAATCAAATAACTGTTTGCAGACCTTTCATGGCATTCCAAATCAGCTGCCTGAGGCTGTCATCTCATTCCGCCTAATAGCAGGGCTGGCCCTGTTTGTGTGTCAGAGCTGAAGGGCAGGTTTTCCACTGTTGGTTTGCAGGACCACTGTAAAAGGGAGAGGGTGGAAGGTAGGCTTCAGCCATACATCCATGCAAACATACAACTGAACAACAAGCATATCACTCTGCACTTGTTACCTGGTTGTGCTACACAGAATGTGTTAATCAGAACTCAGTTCCGTAAAGATGGAAATAGTCTACAAGGACACCATGAGAATAATGGGAGACATAGATTGCATACCTTCCAACTTTTCCTATCCCAAATCCAGAACATGCCACCACTTCCACGCACACCCAGGCCTCCTTGCCCTGCCACCACCTGCCAATTTACCTTCGCCAGCTCTTCTCCACAGCTGCATTGAGGCATCTACTGACGCGGCAGGTCCTCTGCTGCCGTGGCAAGGCCTCCACCACCATTAGGCCTCCACCACTTCCACTGCTGCCTTGACAAGGCTGAGACGTCTGCTGCCACAGTGAGGGCTCCTCCACCACAAGGCCTCCCAAGGCCACTGACGTACTTCTAGAAGCTGGTGCTATGCTTCTGGAAATGCACAGAAGTGCAGCCCGGCTTCCTGGAGTATGTCAGTGGCTGTGGAGGGCCATGGTGGGCCTCAATGGAGGCCTCGTGGTGAAAGGGGCCCCATGGCAGAGGCAGCAAAGGAGGAAACAGAACATCCAGGATTGATATCAGAAGCCAGGGCAACTTCTGTCAATCCAGGATGTCCTGCTCAAAGTGGGATGATTAGCAGGTATGAGAATGGCTGCCCCAAGTTTGCCACCCACCGAGATGGGGGGGGGGTCAGAGGGATTTCAGGGATTCCTATTCAGAGGAGGGGGTTTTTTTTAATGCAATGGGGACAGGCTTCTTAGTGATTTTTCTTTTTTTTAATGTTTGCGTGGCTTTAAAATAAAATAAAGCTGCTTGCAAAGCCCAGTTAAAATATGTTTCCCCCCACAACGACCCAAAAAGAAAATGTATTTGGGAAAGGAAAGCATAGCAGTGGTGAGAAGTAGACCAGTCCTAGAGGGTATTTGGTTCACCCATGAATTGAACACCTCTTTACCCAGCAATTTCAAACAATTTAAGAGAAACATCCATTTGAGACGTAAGGGTTCTTTAATCACACTCACACAGAGAGAGAAATATGCATCTTTTAGCTCTGCGCAGCATATGCAAAGCTTTTATTATCCAGCCTACATAGTAAAAACAATATTCTCAACAGCAGATGGAATGAAATAAAAATGCCACAGTGCAAATGGTCCCCGCGGGGTGGGGGAGGCATTGATTCACTCCTGGACCTCATAAAAAAGCCATTCTGCATCTTGTAGAATAGGCTGTTGCAACACCAAAGCTTTGTTTTCTTCCCCAGCTTCCTCCCGTCTATGTACACACAAATAATTCACGGCTAAAATAGGCTCTCTGAGGCTTCCTCATCCTGAACTTAGCCATTAGCTTTCTACTCCTTGCATTCATAAATAGCCTGAGAGTTTTCATGGCTCAGAAGGTCGGCACGTTTCACACCATTGTTCTTTATGGAGTTACGTGAAGGTTATTTCATTGCGGCGGGCGGGAGGGGCAGGTTTTAAGTCTTTCTCAGCATTGAAGGACTATCTCTGTGACTACAATAGCTACAAGGTGATCTAGGCTGACCTTGGCAAGTGTTCGAGTTGCAAATCAGTCTTGGCAATTGGTCTAAATTCTCCCTAGCATTATTGTGCAACTTGACATGAATTCTCAAGCAGTGAGCGGAGCCAGGGCCAGATAATAATACCTCTTAAGAATGGCAAGGTCTTATTGATAATATGGACCAAATGATACTGTATTGACTCAAGTCTAATGCACCATTGAATCTAATGCACACCTCAATTTTGAGAAACTTGAAACCAAAGAAAGTATTCGCTGGCAAATGTTAATGTGCCATTGAAACTAATGGGCAGCTTAATTTTCACAACGTAATTTGGCTAAAAACAGTGAGCATTAGATTCAAGTAAATATGGTACATTTTACAGAGAGATTATTGTTGTAAGCATACCTTCCAACATTTCTCCAATGAAAATAGGGACGTCCCAGTCCATAACGTTAATTTTACTATTTATAGCCCACCCATATTACTGGGTTTCCCCAGCCACTCTAGGCAGCTTCCAACATATATAAAAACAAAAATGAACATTAAACATTTTTTTAAAAGCCTTCCCTATACAGGATTTCCTTCAGACAGCTCGGGGGTCAGATAACTCCATACCCTCCAGCATATCTCCAATGAAAATAGGGACATTCTAAGAAAATGTAAAAGCTATGGTTTTCCCAGTAGTGATGTATGGAAGTAAGAGCTGGACCATAAAGAAGGCTGATCACCGAAGAATTGATGCTTTTGAATTTTGGTGCTGGAGGAGACTCTTGAGAGTCCCATGGACTGCAAGAAGATCAAACCTCTCCATTCTGAAGGAAATCAGCCCTGAGTGCTCACTGGAAGGACAGATCGTGAAGCTGAGGCTCCAATACTTTGGCCGCCTCGTGAGAAGAGAAGACTCCCTGGAAAAGACCCTGATGTTGGGAAAGATGGAGGGCACAAGGAGAAGGGGACGACAGAGGACGAGATGGTTGGATAGTGTTCTCGAAGCTACCAGCATGAGTTTGACCAAACTGCGGGAGGCAGTGGAAGACAGAAGTGCCTGGCGTGCTTTGGTCCATGGGGTCACGAAGAGTCGGACACAACTAAATGACTAAACAACAACACAAGAAAATGTGGGGTATTCTGGGATCAAATCACAAACTGGGATGGCTTCTATAAATCAGGGACATCCCTGGAAAATAGGGACACTTGGAGGGTCTGTTGTAAAGTTATAAATCTTGACACTGGCAGCACTGGAGAGGGCTCGGGTAGGGCAGGACAGTGATGAGGCTGATGGGAATATTGAGACACCAGTAAGACCACAAGCAGCAGCCCAGCACTCTTGCTGGTGCATCTGCTTGTCCCCAACCTTGCCACTGTACTACTGCTTAAGAATTCAAGCCTAGTGCAACACTGTTCCCTTTACGCCACCGCTTTGAAGAGGATGAGAGGAAGAAAGCAGGTTTTCTTTACCGCATCGCCCTCCTGCAAGTCTAATCAAATCGGTGCACTTTTCTGTTTGCCTCAAGTTGTGGGTTTCTGAGAAACTGCAACCTTAAGCTGCAAAGTACAAACTTTATTAGCGTTCCTCGTCTCTAGGCTGCCGAATGGGCCAGGAATGATACATTTGCGGCATATACACCCAGCTCACCATTCTAAATTGCTATATTTATAGTCTCTTCCTGTGAGTCAGTTATTTCCTATGCCTTCTGCATTATTCTTGTAATATGATGTGCTACGGATTCATGTGTGGGTTTTAAATTGGTATGAGGGATATTCATAGGTATTGAGACTTTCTGCATTAGCTTTCTAGCCCTAGGGCAGGGAACCTGTCTCAGGATCGGGACCACATCCCCTCATGGGCAAACTCCCAGGGGCACATACCAGTGGTGAGTGTGGTCACACACAAAAATAATAATAATAATAATAATAATAATAATAATAATAATAATTTATTATTTATACCCCGCCCATCTGGCTGGGCCTCCCCAGCCACTCTGGGCGGCTTCCATAGAAACCAAAAATACACTAAAATATCACACGTTAAAAACTTCCCTGAACAGGGCTGCCTTAAGATGTCTTCTGAATGTCAGGTAGTTGTTTATCGCTTTGACATCTGCTGGGAGGGCGTTCCACAGGGCAGGCGCCACTACCGAGAAGGCCCTCTGCCTGGTTCCCTGTAACCTTACTTCTCGCAATGAGGGAACCGCCAGAAGGCCCTCGGCGCTGGACCTCAGTGTCCGGGCAGAACGATGGGGGTGGAGACGCTCCTTCAGGTATACTGGACCGAGGCCGTTTAGGGCTTTAAAGGTCAGCACCAACACTTTGAATTGTGCTCGGAAACGTACTGGGGGCCAATGTAGGTCTTTCAAGACCGGTGTTATATGGTCTCGGCGGCCACCCCCAGTCATCAGTCTAGCTGCCGCGTTCTGGATTAGTTGCAGTTTCCGAGTCACCTTCCGAGTCACATGCAAATACCCCTCTCTCTAGCCTCTTTCCAGGCAAGCAAGAAGAGGTGCCATCACAGTTCAGGGACACCTTCCAGCCAGGCAGGATAACTAGAGAAAGGCACAAAGTAGGGCCAGTGAGGGACATGGCCAGGGAAGAGTCCTGAGGATGAGACAGAGAGGTCTGGAGGCTACAGTCAGTGTTCAGGCCTGAAGCTTCCCATTTCTGTTCTAGACCAAGTCAACATCTCCTCACCCTCATTCCATTTCTCCATCTGCTTTGAATGAGCTCATTGCTATTAACTTCCATAATTTATTTCACCCCTGTTCACCCTCCTTCTTCCTCCTTCTGCCTGCAAGGGCTTCTGATATTCTATAGGAACCACTGTTTGTGATCTTCGGTCCTCCAGTTCCACCAACCATCCAAATGTCTCCTGCTCCTTTGCTGTCTCATATGTATGTCTCATACACGGGTGGTGCTGTGGTCTAAACCACAGAGCCTAGGGCTTGCCAATCAGAAGGTTGGTGGTTCGAATCCCCGCGACAGGGTGAACTCCCGTTGCTCG